GCAGTCGAAACAGACAACCAGTTCGACTTGATTTTTTTTTTTTTTATTATATAATACATGTATTACATCATGATTGTTTAATCACAAGGTACAACATTAACCTAATAAATGAGCAACATTTAAATGAGCAAACATTTGTAGAAGCCTTTGCAGACAAACAACTGGGGCGCAATAATCTTTCAAACTGTTGACAGGCCCGATGTTACGTCTACTCGGATGTCTTCATTATTAAAACGGACAATTTCTTCATAACTCTTCGCTATTTTTTCTTTATTTGAACACTTTTCCAATCCGAGTTGATCCATGTTCTGTGGCGTTGATTCTTGATGAACAGTTGTGTTCCCATCAACAGTATTTCAAGCATATCCAATGCACTTTCCTGAACTACAATAAAAACAGCTGTTGTTGTTGTTGTTGTTACATTCCAAACTGTTGTCGGCGATGTTGCAGCCAAGCACATCACCTCATGTGGATCAAACAAGCTCATCAGGCGCCCGGCATTCAACATGTCTGTTTATGGACTTATGGTAATGCCTCTGGAACCCAAGCATTTCCTCAACTTCCCTTGTTTCTTACTTGAAACTAAAAATTACTTCTACCCCTCCTTCATCTGACCTGGTTTAATTACTACCAGTCAGCCAACATACCCCTCATAGGATGGAAAAAAATGCAAAGTATGAAATAAGAGAAGGTAGCTAAAATGTGAGGTTGCATGGTGCTGGGTGGATCTTACTGCTGATCACCACTGGGTAACTCCTTTTTGGAGCGACTTAATGAGTGACCGTCAGGCTGTCTCGGCTTTACTCTCTCCAGCTTCCTGTGACCTTGTACAGGACAAGCATAACCGCTTATACCGGCTGCCTTTTGAGAAATCTCAATGTAATGGTTGGTGAACAAGTCAATAGATTTGTTGGCCTGTCCCAAGTCAGTCCAGAGTCAAGTCAAAAATGGAGTTGAATGTGGTTTCAAATTCATTCAGATACATGCGAGATGCACAACATTTTCTCTGTATGATGTTCAACTGCATCACTTGTTCAGTTGTGTGTGTGTTTAATGCTCAAACGTATGGCTGGCGTATGGATGTTTTTAGACTCTTCAATTGAATGATCGAGTAATCACGCTTGGATGACTTTTTTTTCCCCCGGTCCGACTACAAAGCTCCTATTTGTACTGGTGGGATGGCATAATAGAGTGTTTAAGTAAATATAGTCACCACAGCATTTTGGTGACCTGGCTTAAGGAAATACGCCTCTTATTTCAACATGAATAGTCTATAAAAAGACGATGTTTTCTTTGCCATAAAGATGTTCTGTCCAATTTGGCAGCTGAGTGTGCTGGCTTAAGGAGGGTTGAACAACAAGCAGGGTGGACAACAGTACTGAGGCGGGACTACACTCATGAGGGAGTGTGTTTCGGGCAGAGGCCTCGCTAGCTCGTACACGCACGCACACGCATAAAGACAGGCAGAATGAGGTAAAGCCGAGTCAGACCTCACAGCCCCAAGTGAGTCACTCGAACTGTGGTGTTTCCCAGCGTCAGAAAGTCAAGGCTTGGTCTTTTTACTCATGCTCTAGTCAGACTGAGCCACTTCAACAGACTACTCTGCACTTAACGGCAACAAGATGGGAGCCTGCTATTTTGACAAGAAAGAGAGGAAATTAGGGAAGCTTAATGGCTGGAGGAAGGTGAGTTTCTTGAATAACTTTTGCTTTGTTAAGATGTATTTTTTGGGGGGGAGCAACGGGGGTTTACGAATCTGGTTTATGTGGACTTTATGTGCTCCACTTTTGCCGTTTGTGCATGCTGTGGTTAGGTCTAAGTTTAGTTAATTTATGAGAGCCTAAAGTATACCCTACACTCATGAAATTGATGTTTTCATAGCTCTGCTGTTCAGACAATGTTGACGTGTATATTGCATGACAATGAAGTTAACTTATTATTTGGCCACATGGAACAAGCAGTGCTGCCATTTAAATGTAAGTCCACTTGTGGAAAACGTTTCGAGATTAATATCTGTATTGGGTATTGATAAATCAGCAAGCGATCTTTTACTTTTGACAAATTGTTCTGTTCTATTCACTACAGAGCACATGCGTACATTTTTAAGCCATTCCTTTCTGTGATTAATTCTTTGTGATTTCACAAGTTTACTGTTTCATATTTGTCGCTATTGGCCTTTAGAAGAAACTATCCTGCTGACTGCTGTGTTACAACCCAAAAAATGATGGACCACATCGCATCTTTCTGGGCCTAACAGGCACAAAGGAGAGGAGTAATTCTACATTTTGAAACATTTCAATTGTCCTCCTTTTGTTGTCTGCAAATGCCATAGCTATACTTAAGAAAAAAAGGTCCAACAGCACTTAAACACAAATGGCTTCACAAGTTATTTCATTGAGAGTCATAACTGTCTTAACTGATTTTACTGCCTTGCAGCATGTTTGCTTAAGGAGGTACAAAAAAATGAAAGGGCTGCATGCTATTTGCCGTATTCTTAGTTCATGTTAAAACATAAAAGAACAAAGTTGAAATTGAACTCATTAAATATGTATGTCTAAAAAGTGTGCTTCAACTCTCCTACAATAGTGAGTGAAGTGTTATTTCAAAATTACTCTTCACTGTAATTTAATCTCATCTCTTACATCGCCTTTAAATCGCTGTGCATTTATTTGAAGTCTCTAAATTGGCGGATGTGTCAGGATGCAAGGTCAGGAAGGTCAATTAATCCTGTCATACAGCAGTCTTAACACAGAGCGCCCACTAGTGGTTGTAAGCCTCTATTCTTGTTTGGTTTTGTATCATTTTTGTTTTGATGGATGGATGGATGGATTGCGTTCATGGTTCGACAAATCGATCAACAGAGGGACAGCCAGGCAGTGTCCCGTTCAAGGGAGGGAGACACCACACCTGGCTGGCCTCCACCTTAAGATGTCCAGTGGGTATCTGAATGGAGGCGCAGAGTGTGTGGTTGCTTTTTTGTGGGGGGTTTTTTTTCGCCTACCTTCACTGAAATGCCAGAGGCTCCCTTCAACTTCTCTGTCTCTATCGCTGCAGCTTTCTTAGTCAAGCTAGCAGAGAGGTGGGGGGTTCACAGAGGGAAGGAACAGAAGGAGATGTGCTCATAGAGCGATAGCAGTACAAAGGGAAGGATGCAGAAAATGACCAAAAGGATGGCAGACATTGTAAGCAATTAGTAAAATCACATTTTATGCACCACACGACACTTCTTGGTGTCATTCGGCCAAAAGGAGCAAAGAGACTATCCTACTCCCGCAATGAAATCAAATGCACCGTAGTGCAGAGAGACATCAGCCACTGTTATTTCTGGTTTCTTTATATATTATGCAGTGTAGTATTATATAAAGCACTGCCTCGTCTCTTGAACTTCAGATTTTTTTTTTGCATCCAATCTCCCAGTTCTTGGTTCTTTCTCTCTGGATTCTTTCCCTCTGTGGGAGGACAATCCGGAATCCTCCCAGCGTGAGCTTTGATCTCCCTCTCATCTTTATCGTTTGTGTCCCACTCAAGCTCATATCCACATCTGCAGCCAAAAGGGAACTTGTGGGTTCCCATGGATGATTGGCACTCTCCCAAAAAAAAAGAAAAATCACAGCTATTGAGCAGGAGGGTAACCCTGTAGAACCTCGCAGCCATTGTTGAGTTGTGACAAAAGCAGCGCCATGCATCAAAATTGCCTCATGCCCCTGATATAACCGCATATTCAAATCAGGTGGCCCGAGCCTTGTACAATGCAGCAGTGTCCACATGCGTCGAGGACAGCCCATCGATTGCGCCTGTGAGGCAGTCAGACAGAGATTGATGACTGTGTTGGCAAGTGGCAGCCAGTAGAGAAATTGACATGTAAGTGGCGGATCGTGAGCGAGAGACGGAGTGGCGGGAAGAGGTGCATCAGTGGTGGGCGGGGAGCGATTTTCAGTTTGTATGGGTTGGATGTGAGCTCAGGCGATGTGTGTGGTGTGTCCTCGTGACAGCTCAGCAGCGATACCACATGTCTGCCTGCAAAGGAAAAGGGAAGCCTCCCCTTTCTCCTCTTTTCCTCTCCACTGAAAACAGCCGCATACTGGCTGCCTGATATTGTTGCCATGGTGTTTGGGTGTTCTCGTATTTGGGACACACACACACACACACACACACACACACACACACACACACACACACACACACAGCGCAAACACAAATCGGTTGGTTGATGTCAGCTAAATTGGGCTGCAATTAACTCCAATCTCCTTCTTGTCATCTCCTCAGTACAGACTGTTAAAAATACCCCCCCCCCACACACACACAGACACACACCATATCTAATATGGGATGTGGTTAATGATCAGACTTATGATGTCTGCTCCATGCTGGCTGCTGTACATCAGCAAACAGCAGAATCTGTAAAAGAGAGAGAGGGCGTGGAGAAACTGGTAATAGAGATCATGATAAGATGCTGCACATTCACGTTCCAGAAAATGTGAGCAGCATTCATTGGTTCACCGTGGAGGCTCAGGGATGCTTTCCTCTCAATGGCTGACTTCATAACACGTGCAGTTATGAGGTCAAGGTTTTTTTGGTCCCTGCAGTGTTCGCACAGATGGCTAAACATTTTTTTTTCCTCCAAATTGTATACGGGCGAAAAACCCCTACCCACTGAAAAGGGTAATCTGAATGTAATTTAATTTAAACATTTATGAATGAAGGACTCAATATTTCACCGGCATAAAAACCGAGACTAAATGCTCCATTGATTGTGAGATTGTACAGATTTTTGTCCCTTAATTTTGTCAGAATTACAGTGAAAAGGTTCTTCACGTCCCACTACGAACCATACACTTGCTAACCTGGTGGAGCCCATCCATCGCCCTGTCTTTTCTACACATTTTTGTCAAATCATGTGTTCTGCATGGAACGTGTTGCTGGGGCTGGCAAACTACATCAGGGGAAAGGGAGGGAGTGAGAGCGAGCGAGAGAGAGAGAGAGAGAGAGAGAGAGAGAGTGTAGTCAGAGGGTGGGGGTGGGGAGCCCGAGCATTACAGCACTGAGAGCATCGAACCGAGACAAACCCAGCAGAGGAACCCCCCCTCATGTCAGATGAACATCGCAGCCTCCCTCCCGCCCCCATCTGCTCCTCCCATCTTCATCGCTACCCCCCAGCCCTCGCTCCTTCCTCCCACGCCTCCCATGGTCATTTCTTCTCCATTATTCATTAGTGCACTGTGAATCCCTCTGCTTACGGCTCACAGCTGCTGCTGCTCCAGCCCATCTCGCAGCACCCATTTTCCACTTGCATCCAGGCACCTTTCCATCCATACACGGCGGGCATGGGGACTTGGAGCTGGCCTCTTCTTGCAGCAAGAAGGGAGAGAGGGCCACCATCAAGCTACTCTCTAAGCTGCTAAAAAGGAACACAAGGAGACAAGGCATTGTTTTTTTGGGGGGGGGGGGGTAGGGGGGGCGGCGGCTGAGAGAATCCTGTTCAACTGCCTCCATAGTTTTTCCTCAGTGGATTACAGTTCTGGCTTTGATAAGGAACGAGAAAACAGGATCCAAAATGCCTGAAGCCAATTACCTGCTGTCGGTGTCTTGGGGTTACATTAAGGTGTGTGATTTTTAATGCCGATTTTCGGGGTTAGCACACTCATTCGCTGTGCTGTGAAGCCAAATCAAATTCTCCGTCTGTTTTTTTGGAAATCAATAGTTACTTTGGATCTTTGATGCCACTTGCCTGATATTCTTTCTGTGCCAAAGTGATGTTTTGTAGCGCAGGCTCCATCTTGAGCCCTCTGCAGAGCTATGTGCTTGATGTGTGTGTGTGTTGGTGTGCGGTCTGTGCGCGCATGAATGCATCAGTCTGTCAACAGTTGCTACTGCAGTGTCCTGGATTTCGGTGTAACCTCTCGGGCATCCAAACGTTTCATATGAATTTGTGTTCAAAGGAAAACAGCATGATAATTGACCAAATGTATTGATGTAAAGTGCAAGTGGAGATGATCTGCTGGACACATGCCCACAAAAAAACTGACACATGTAAAACTGGCAAATGAGTATCAACAATGTCAATGCACGTAATCAAACTGTTGCCGAAGGTGAATTTAGAGAGTTTAAAGATTAGCCACCGTGCTTTGACTGTAATTAGGGGAAGTGACGGTGGGGTGGTATTCCTCCACTTGTTACACAGTTGAAATACCTGATGGAATAAAACCGATGAATTTTCCACAGAATCCATGGAGTCGCCATTTTCTCCCCTAGGTTTTCCCTGGAAACTGACGCCATTGTTTCTCCCCCTCCCCTTTCTCTCTTGCAGTTTAAGAGAATGTTGAATCGGGAGTTGACACACCTATCTGAGATGAGTCGGTCTGGGAATCAGGTGTCCGAATTCATCTCCAACACTTTCCTAGGTAATTAACTGTATAATGCATACATACATACATACATACATACATACATCCTGGCCATACAGTACATGCATTCAAAGTCACAATCAAAAATCTGGATTTTCATGATGCAAATATACCAATATACTGACACCCAATAAAGCCAAATCATACCACAGCATTTGACAAATGAGGTTCATTAATGTTTATTTTTGCTACTAAGCGAAGCTGGATGAGTTGCTACGCATGTTCTTTTGTGGGGGCGTACCATAAATTACTGTGCCACTGAGCTTTGTGTCGAGATTGATTGCACCAGCCCCAAAATGCTGTTTATTTATGTGAGAAAATGTAGATTATGAAAAAAGACATGAAATTTGAAAGAATAGTTATTAGTTAGGATCTGATACGATGTGGGATGATACATTTCAAGAGAAAATAAAATGTAAATATATAATGTATGTATAATGTCAAGATTTAAATTTCACAGTTCAATGACATCATTAATTAATTTTAACAGTAGACAATCAACAAATCGTTTCCAGTGATTTCAAACTTGCTTGGAGAAAGGATCAGTGATAATCTTGAAGAAGCAGCTTGGTCATAAACACGTGAATTTGGAAGAAAATGTAATTACACACCAGATGGAGGTGGTCGATTCTATTTATAGACACGGTCCTTACGATCGATCGACATCCTGATCCATGTAGTGTAACTGGCATATCCCTACTGCGGGATCACTGGCGGGAGGGGGGGGGCAGTTGAGAAAGCGAGGGTGGGAGCGAAGCGACTGCAGTGAAGGAGAAAACGAGAGGTACAGAGGAACCCCTTTTGCTGGCAGTTACCACACTGGGTGAGTCATCTCGAGCTTAGTGCATTTTCGTAGCAGGGATGCCTCCTATGATGAAGAAACTTCATTCACTGTCGAAAGGAAAGAAAATGGCCTGAACCAATGTTATTGGAACGTAGTGAGAAGCTATTTCAATATTATTTGGGTGATTGATGAGACAACACATGATGATCTGTGGAGGTTTAGTGCTACTTGCAGCCAACAATATACTTTCTCACAAGTTTTCTCACACACACAAACAGTGGTAGTTATCATTTTTTTACTCATTATACTGATTCAAATTCTTTAAAGGTCAGGTGTGAAGTAAATTTGGCCTGCCGTCTTTTGAGTAATATTTAGGGCTAAAACTATTTCAAGCGTACTTTCATTTTTCTTTTAACGCACCTACCGAGGTTTATAGTTACACCCATAACGATGCGCTTACCAAACAAAAATGCTTTTGTTCGGCAATCTCCGGCAAGTGTTGTCTATTACAGAATGCCAAGTCGTCAGTCAGCCATTGTAATGCATTGTTGATTGTCCCGTGAACTGCTCTTGCCATTGCTTTTGAGTTATTTGGCAAAATGCCTCGGATCTGTGTGGCGATGCACTCTTCACATTCAGTCAAACAATTCCACGCCGGTGTCGATCAGCACGCTTTGTTACAAGACCTCTGCTTTCTCAATTGGATTTGCAAAAGTAGGTGTGCTAATCAATAAATAACTGTTTGTTGTTTATGAAAACATTTGATTCAAAGTATTATACGTGCACATAATCAACATAATCCTGTACAAAAAAATTCCAACGATATGAAAAATTGTTCCAAGGGGGAGGAGGTAGATAATGAAAAGCACAGTGCCCAGAACAGAGCCCTGGGGCCCACCTGAAGTAACTGGGTAGGGATCAAATGAAAAAGGACTTTCGCTGGATAAACTGAGTCTTTTAGGTATGAATGGAACCAGTATAGGTCAATGTGGGCAATTCCGATGGATGATAGTCTGTTGAGGACGGTGTGTGATATGGTGTCAAAGGCTGCAATCAAGTCAAGGAGGATTAGAGTGGAAAGTGAACAAGAGTCAGCTGCAGCGAGGGGATCAGAAGTCATTTTGTGGAGGGGACGAAACCCATATTGATAGCCTCATACAGGCTGTCGTGTGTTAAAAGAGAATAGAGTTGAGCAGCGACTACTTCTTCTAGGACTTTCGAAATGAAGGGTAAATTGGAGATGCGGCAGAGGTTATGTCTGGGGGGAGCTGAACCAGGTTCCTTCGGAATAAGGGTGACAGTTGTAGTTTTGGCACGATACTGGTGGAGAGTGAATAATGGCAGAGGCGAGGGGAGGCAGTGGGAAAAGACAGGATTTAACCAAGGTTGTAGGGAGATGGTGAAGCTGGCAGAGGAGGGCTTAGATTTATGGAGGAATCAGGGTGTGCAAAAGTGGAGAAACACTGACAAGTGGTGAGTGGTTCATATTTGAGAAGAGACAGCGGATTTGCGCTGAGGTGTTGGTGGATATTTTGAATTTTTTTCAATGAAAAACAGCATGTAAGGATTACAAGTTTCTATTGAATCCATGTGTGAGGATAGAGAATTGGGCTGCCAGAAGATATTGTTAAAGAGTTTGAAAAGTGTTTTTTGTTTTACCAGCATTTGAAGAGATGATACCAGAGAACTATGCTGTTTTGTTTTGAGCAAAAGAATCTTTGTGTTGAGAGGTGTGTGTTATGTGCATTTGTTGGTGAATAATCAGACCAGTTTTGCTGTAGAGTCTTTGCAGTTGTCTGCCTTTTTAATTTCATTGCTCTGAACTGCGAGGTGTATTGGGGACAGTTGAGGAGATGGAGAGAGTGTGTGTTTTCAGCGGGGCTTAGGAGTTGGGGAAACTGGGTAGCTCATTGTTGTACTGGGCTGCAAGTGTGTTCGGTTTGGATGGATGATCAAGGATTATGCGATACTGCTTTTCCTTTTGTTTAGCAGACTGCACACGTCCAAGAGGGTTTAATTGACTGCTCTTAGTGTAAACTGGCTCAACTGGCTGGAGCTCTGGGGGGAGAAGATGACAGATATAAAATAAGGAATGTGCAAGAGGAGGGGAGGAGCATGAGACCGAAAGTAATTCTTTGAATTAGAGCTGGTAATTGAATAACCCGCCAGAGGAGTATAAAACAGTGATGAGCAGAGTCGGAGTTTTGAATGAACTGTCGGAGTTGGGGGGAGACAGCAGAAGGACAGCATGGGATAGATTCAGCAAATGAAAGCGCAGACGATGAATGAACAGCCTCATGCTTGGGGATCGGCTGATAGGTTGCAGGTGTTTCCATGGTGTAGCTTGGTTCTCAGGTAGCATTTCTAGGGAAACAAAGGCCTACTGTGGAAGGTTCTATGGCCCCTTTATTGAGTTCTCCTTCATACACGCACGCACACACACACACACACACAAATGAACAGCCTCATGCTTGGGGATCGGCTGATAGGTTGCAGGTGTTTCCATGGTGTAGCTTGGTTCTCAGGTAGCATTTCTAGGGAAACAAAGGCCTACTGTGGAAGGTACTATGGCCCCTTTATTGAGTTCTCCTTCATATACACACGCACGCACACACACACACACACACACACACACACACACACACACACACACACTATTCTTTTTTGTTTCTAACAAGAGCATCATTGCCCTTTTCACATTTTGTCTTTCTGCAGACAAACAGAATGAGGTGGAGATACCATCACCCACACCCAAGACACGGGAGAAGAAGAAGCAGCACAAGCAGCAGCTGATGACGCAGATCAGCGGTGTCAAGAAGATCTCCCATGGGCCTTCGCTTTCAAGCAGCAGCATCTCGCGTTTCGGTGTCAAAACGGATAAAGAGGAGTTGCTGTCCAAGGAACTGGAGGATCTGAACAAATGGGGTCTGAATATCTTCACAGTTTCCGAGTACTCAAACAGCCGACCTCTTACCTGCATCATGTACGCCATCTTTCAGGTAGGAAACTTCCACGTTGTCTCCATGTGCTTTGTCTTTCCTCGAATGTCTTTGTGTGACACCACTTAAGTGATTCAGCATTAACTATGTGTTACAATCTTATGTTTCAAAGGAGCGGGATCTATTAAAAACATTTAAGATCCCAGTGGACACATTTGTGGCCTACATGATGACACTAGAAGATCACTACCATTCCGATGTGGCCTACCACAACAGCCTGCATGCAGCTGACGTAGCCCAGTCCACGCACATCCTTCTCTCTACTCCAGCCCTTGATGTAAGTTAGATGCAACAGATGAATGGTTTGTTATGCAACATCATTTGTTGCTGGGTTTTAGGTTTCCTTTGTTCGGTGAACAAAAGTTGTTTTGTCTTATGTTGGCTGACAGTTTCGGATGTCACTCCAGCCTTCGTCAGAGCTCTCACCGCTTCATGGTTTGGTGTTTCTAAACACAGCTGATTGGGTTGGGAAACCTTCAAAATAAAGGAGCACCTTTGTTCATGGGCAGCGGTGGGGTGGAGATGAGACTTGGTCGGGGCAGGGAACTTTATGTTTCTGGACCAATTGGCTGGGTTTTTTTTTTTTTTTTACATGTCACACCAGGAAGCGGTGACGGCTGTGATGAGGGCTGCAGTGACAGTCGAAATTGTCAAATGAATAAGACATTGTCATCATCTACTTTTTGGGGACAAAAATAGTTTTGACACTAATTATGCACAGGTTGGCTTTTCAGATTTTTAAATTTTTTTTTTTAAGTTTGTGCTTGGCTTTGGTTTTCTCCAGGCTGTCTTCACTGATCTTGAAATCCTCGCTGCCATCTTTGCCGCTGCCATCCATGATGTTGACCATCCTGGAGTATCAAACCAATTCCTCATCAATACCAGTATGTATAGAAGTGTATTAACAGGCTTGTTTGAGTGTCTTGGAAAGTTTTGGAGCTGTAGTTTGGAGCCATTCCTTTTCTTTTTCACTTGCGAGCAGATTCCGAGCTGGCGCTGATGTACAACGATGAGTCTGTGCTAGAGAATCATCACTTGGCTGTGGGATTCAAACTCCTGCAGGAAGAAGGATGTGACATCTTCCAGAACCTCACAAAAAAGCAGCGACAGTCCCTACGCAAGATGGTCATTGACATGGTACGACACCTTGGTTTTTATTTTTGTCTACATGAGGGATGGGCTACGTAAATAGTGGAGGAGGCCACCATTTCTCTATCAGTGCTACTAGCAGGCCACATTGGCCCACGCACTTCTTAACCAGATGTATAGTAAAAATGTATATATATACATATATATATATTTAAAAATGGTCAAATGATTTGAGAAAAAGAATCTGCAAATCGTTGAATCTTTGGATGCTGAATTGCGATTATGCGATGGTCCACTGTAGTAGAGGGAAAAGGTTTTTTATTTATTTATTTGTGTATTTATTATTAATTTGGGGCGACTCAGAGCGAGAGCAAGGGCCTAATATGACACGCCGGCCACCAGTTGCCTATCCCTGGTCCACATACTTTGTGATAGGCTTGATGTCAAAAATTGGACCGATGCTCAGGAATATTTTTTTTTTTGCCTCCCAGGTTTTAGCAACTGACATGTCCAAACACATGAGTCTGTTGGCCGATCTGAAGACAATGGTGGAAACCAAGAAAGTGACGAGCTCTGGAGTGCTGTTGCTGGACAATTACACAGACAGAATACAGGTAAGGACAGAATATACTATCAATGATCCACCTCTCATTTACTTGTTTCTAGTGGTTCCAATAATTTGACGGTGCTTGGGGACGTTGCTCAGCCAGTGGCCATCCTCCGACAATGGCTAACCTTTGCTCCCGCTAGCACTCCCTTTCTCAAATGAGCCATTTTCTTTTCAACTTTATGTGCTACCTCCTAACTACTAGCTACTCTCTGGTTACAAATCATCTTATTCTGATACAATTAGACTTCATACTATGTCTGTCCTCCAACAATCAAAACTGATTTTTTTTTTATGAGGGTTTTTTTTCCTTATTTTTATGGTGAAAATCTAACTGGAAACGTGTGTTGTTTGTCTTCCATAATATACTATGTAGTTTAAAGTTTTCATTTTCAAAATGTTTTTTCCCCCAAGGTGCTGCGAAACATGGTGCATTGTGCTGACCTGAGCAACCCCACAAAGTCCCTTGAGCTGTACCGTCAGTGGACTGATCGGATAATGGAGGAATTCTTCCACCAGGGAGACCGGGAGAGGGAACGAGGGATGGAGATCAGTCCGATGTGCGATAAACACACAGCTTCAGTGGAAAAAAGTCAGGTGGGGAACGTGCATCATATAATTTCTTGTTTGTTTGTTTGTTTGTTTGTTTGTTTGTTTGTTTGTTTGTTTGTTTTAAAGGGCATGCCTAATCTGCATGTCTTTCGTTCTTCCAGGTGGGTTTCATTGACTACATTGTCCACCCTCTGTGGGAAACTTGGGCCGATCTGGTTCATCCCGATGCGCAGGATATTCTGGACACACTGGAAGACAACAGGAACTGGTATCAGAGCATGATCCCCCAGAGTCCCTCCCCACCGTTCTATGATCAGGGGTCTCATGGACATGGGGGAGGCACTGGAGGGCCAAGTGGGGACAAGTTTCAGTTTGAGCTGACCCTGGAGGAGGAGGACTTGGACGGTATAGAGAAAGATGGTGATGTGGAGGAGGAAGAGGAAGTAGATGAGGAGGCGATCGATGATGAGGAGGACAGCCTTGGAGATTGTCGTTCTCCTCCTCTGGACTTTCAGGAGCACAACGACGGTGACATGATGGAGCCCACGTCGATGATCGAGATCGTGACGCACGAGGCGTCACCCACAGACACATAGGGATTTCATCAGCAGGCTCAAGTGCTGATTTGAAAGAGTTTTGAGAAAAAGAGGGGAGATCCTCATGCAGCTGTGCTTTTTAATAAGCCCTCAGAAGCAAAGGCTTAGTTTTGGCCCGCACGGAGCCGTCTTGCACTTGGGTGTTTGAAGCCGGGCATGGACATACAGTTTCGGAGAAACGGCTTCAGAGTTCTCAGGAAATATTTACTGCAAACATTCGAGTCTTGATGGTCGCGCAAGAATGACGGTAGAAATTGAAGGATGTAGGCCAGTTTGGGAAATGTTTCTTTTCTGGACTGGCAGTAAATAAACATTGACACTACTGAGAGAAATTTTGTAACTTAAGACTTTTTTTTCTTTTTTTTTCTTTTCTTTTTTACAGATATAATATAGAAGTAGCATAGAATAAGATCTACTGATGGAGACCTGTTTGTATAGCAAGAGAAAGTGTTTACTTTTTCCTGTACCATTTATCAAAGAACTTGGTGTGCCTTTTTTACAAATGTCTTCTTTTTTTTTTAATTTATTGAACACTCTAGTACAGTTTGTCTGTGAAATGTTTTTCTTATCTGAGAGAGTAAAACCATTTTTGTATGTTAAAAGAGAACAGTCTTCCATGTATTGGGCAATAGAGAAATATAATGGCGACAAACAACCCGTAGATGAAATCGTCTTTGTAGGGAAACATGAATGCGCACATTTTGTGAGGATTGTTCCTACGTCTGAGCACAACATTGTTTAAACACAGCTACATTTGTGGTTTGTGTTTTATGATGACATTGTTACATTCACGTTGTATGGTTCAAACCAATACGTGTTTGAATACATCTTCATACTTCTCAATCTTTTTGTCTTAAAGTACTAAGAAAACATTGTGGGCTTCCTAACTTTTGAGACCAAAACTGAAATTTTCATGCAAAATGCACAGCGGGCTCATGTAATTCCTGCTGGATGGAAAATTCAGTCATTGACTTTGTTTTGCGTTTTTCATCATCTTTCCATATCATGACATTCAAATGAGATTATTTCAACCATAATAAACTTGTGGCTCCTGCCACGAGATGAAATAACGAACACAAACAAATAACAACATCAAGTACCAGTGCTGAGGAGTTTATATTTTTACCACCATTTGTTCAATGCCATGAAAGGAACCTCCAGGGCCACTTTCACCTAATTTACTGGAGGGCGGATCTCGTGGGTCAAGGAAGAATCCAATTTCACACAGTAAAACAAACTACATCTAATTCATATTTGCCTTTGTGGAGGTCTGCTTCTTTAACGGTCAAATCAAAGATGAAGTCCGACAAGGAAAAAATGCACATCAGCAGTGATTCTATTTTTAACTGGCAGGTAGGCTGCAGTCTTCATAATCCTGTTAGTTGGAACTACTCCTGACCCCAAGCCCATCTGATGCAATGCCCTTCTTGCCCCCTATGCAATCAGGCCCTGCAGACCACATGATTTAAGGTGCTCTTCCAGCTGCCAGTATGAAAGGCGCCCTCAGAGCCTCATCAGTGCCACTATTCACATGGTTGACAAACCCCTCTCGGCACCATGGACACAGTCCAGAACAATCAGGCCAGCTATTTCTTTCTTGCAATGAAAATCCCTCGAGTGCTGCTTCCACCCAATGACGTCATATAAAAAAGAGAGAGGAGGGGAAAAAAGCCCCTTTCCCACATCAGGTTTCTAGGGCAGTATGATTATTCCAAATGTACACACATGCAGAATAATTGGTTGGTATACTTTGGGGAAAGAAGTGAAATTAGGTACTCCTATGTTAGAGCAAACATTTTTTTCCCGATCATAGTTTTAGAATAATGGTTTGAAAAGGGTTTGTCAACCTCACATTTCATCTGGCTTCTACAGGAAATGTTTTTTTGGTCTCGTTAATGATCGCATTTGTATGCATCTTGGTTTACTGGTATACTAAAATGGTACTGCATCAAATTTCACTCCAAGATAGTTAACTGGCAATCACGTGTGTTGTATGTATGCGCAGTATGGGAGATTTTGTGTGTGTGTGTGTGTGTGTGTGTGTGTGTGTGTGTGTGTGTGTGTGTGTGTGTGTGTGTGTGTGTGTGTGT